TATCTATCTATCTATCTATCTATCTATCTATCTATCTATCTATCTATCTATCTATCTATCTATCTATCTATCTATCTATCTATCTATCTATCTATCTATCTATCTATCTATCTATCTATCTATCTATCTATCTATCTATCTATCTATCTATCTATCTATCTATCTATCTATCTATCTATCTATCTATCTATCTATCTGCCCCCCCCGCCCGTCTGCCTGCCTGCCTGCCTGCCTGCCTGTCTGCCTGCCTGTCTGTCTGTCTGTCTGTCTGTCTGTCTGTCTGTCTGTCTGTCTGTCTGTCTGTCTGTCTGTCTGTCTGTCTGTCTGTCTGTCTGTCTGTCTGTCTGTCTGTCTGTCTGTCTGTCTGTCTGTCTGTCTGTCTGCCTGCCTGCCTGCCTGTCTGTCTGTCTGTCTGTCTGTCTGTCTGTCTGTCTGTCTGTCTGTCTGTCTGTCTGTCTGTCTGTCTGTCTGTCTGCCTGCCTGCCTGCCTGTCTGTCTGTCTGTCTGTCTGCCTGCCTGCCTGCCTGCCTGCCTGTCTGTCTGTCTGCCTGCCTGCCTGCCTGCCTGCCTGCCTGTCTGCCTGCCTGCCTGCCTGCCTGTCTGCCTGCCTGCCTGCCTGTCTGTCTGCCTGCCTGCCTGTCTGCCTGTCTGCCTGCCTGCCTGTCTGTCTGCCTGCCTGCCTGCCTGCCTGTCTGTCTGTCTGTCTACCTGCCTGCCTGCCTGCCTGCCTGCCTGCCTGCCTGCCTGTCTGCCTGCCTGCCTGCCTGCCTGTCTGCCTGCCTGCCTGCCTGTCTGTCTGTCTGCCTGCCTGCCTGTCTGTCTGTCTGTCTGCCTGCCTGCCTGTCTGTCTGTTTGTCTGCCTGCCTGCCTGCCTGCCTGCCTGCCTGCCTGTCTGTCTGTCTGTCTGTCTGTCTGTCTGTCTGTCTGTCTGCCTGCCTGCCTGCCTGCCTGCCTGCCTGCCTGCCTGTCTGTCTGTCTGTCTGTCTGTCTGTCTGCCTGCCTGCCTGTCTGTCTGCCTGCCTGTCTGTCTGTCTGCCTGCCTGCCTGTCTGTCTGTCTGTCTGCCTGCCTGCCTGTCTGCCTGCCTGCCTGCCTGCCTGCCTGCCTGCCTGCCTGCCTGCCTGCCTGTCTGCTTAACGGACGGTCAGGCAAGGACGAAATGGTGGCTTTGCAACAAGTATTGTGAGTTTTGGTGTGATATATTGTCCCAGCTGTAGCAAATTAATTGACTACCTTCACGACCAGAGTGACAAGTGAACGGTTGGTTCATCGGACAGACGTTAGACTTTGACAGTTGGCAGAGAATCACTGGCAGGAGTTAATCTAACACTTGGGCTTCAAGTGATGTCAAGTTTTTTTTTAAATAAATATATTTAAAAAAAAAAAAAAAAAAAAAAAAAAAAAAAAAGAATTACACTAATCTGCAAAAATTAAACCCAAAATACTTTTATTTTTGACCATCATCATCATCATCAGGTGCCTTGCCGACTGGCGTGGGCGATCATGCCTCTCCATGATCCGCGATCTCCTGCAGCATGTATCAGTTCGTGTGCCGACACACCTCCATGCCATGCAACAAGACTGTCAAGCATCTTCTCTCGTTGTCTTCCTCTATCCCTCCTTCCACAGATCTTTCCAGTGGTCACAACATGTTCTATTTTCCCTCTTCTCATAACATGGCCGAAAAATGATGACTGTCTCCCTCTGATGTCAGTGATAAGTTGTCTTCGGTCTCCCGCCTCTTTCAAAACCTCTTGGTTGCTCTTTTTGGCTGTCCAAGGTATTCTAAGCATTCTTCTGTAAAACCACATCTCTGAGGCCTCTAAAAATTGTTTGGCCTGCCTACCGATTATCCAGGATTCACATCCATATGTTAAAACTGGATGTATGTAGCAAGCAAGAATTCTTTTTCTAACTCTCAATGACAAGGATATATTGCACAAGATGTTTTTCATTTTATAAAATGCAGTTTTTGCCTGTCCAATTCTGTTTCTTATTTCAGTTATGCATCTTCCATCTGATGTTATCCATGTGCCCAGATACTTAAATTTCTGTACTTGTCTTAAAATAACACCATTGACTTTTATTACACATTTAGGAATAATTTGTTTCTTTGATACCACCATTACTTCTGTCTTCCCATTATTCAAACTGAGGTCCATTCTTCCACTTTCTAACACCACAATGTCTATCATTTCCTGTAATTCTTTCTGACTTGTTGCTATCAAGACTGTGTCATCAGCATAACGTAAATTGTTTGTATTCTGCCCACCAACCACGATTCCGGGCATATCAATTAAAGATCTCATAATATATTCACTGTATATTGAAAACAAATCAGGTGAAAGTACACATCCTTGTCGTACGCCCCTCTTTATGCTTTGAAATGTACCTAAACAGTTGTTAATTCTTATAGCTGCTGTTTGCTGCCAATACATATTCTTTATTATTCTTAGATCTTTCCCATCAATGTTTAATTTTTCTAACAGTTTGATTACTTCTTCATGCTTCACACAGTCAAATGCTTTTGTATAGTCTATGAAGCATAAATACAAATCAGTCTTTACTTCTATAGCTCTTTCTGACAATGTCCTTAGGATGTATATGGCATTGTTTGTACCTTTTCCTTCTACAAATCCACATTGTTCATCGCTGATTTCTGGTTTAATTTTGTTTCTTATTCTTCTCATAATTATTCTCAGTAAAATCTTAGTCATGTGACTCATAAGACTTATTGTGCGATGGTCTTCACATTTTAAAGTGCCTGGTTTCTTCGGCAGAGCTATAAATATGGATTTTGAAAGTTCATTTGGAATATACCAACTATTATAAATATCATTTAAAAGTTTAGTTATTATTTCAATTCCAAAATTTCCCAGTGCTTCGATTTCTTCCAGTGAGATGTTGTCTGGCCCGGGTGCTTTTCCTTTCTTCATATGATGTATTGCATCCTCAACTTCTGCAGTCATTATTGGTGGACCATCATTGTTGTTCTGCAGTTCTACGTCTGGTCTATTATCATCATACAATTCCCCTATATACTCTGTCCATCTGTTAATTATATTACTATGTCCCATTAATAAGTCACCATCCTTTGATATCAAACATCCAGTGCTGTTACGTGTCATCTTTCCTGTTAACATATTTATCTGTTGGTACATGGAATGTGAGTCTTTCCCGTGATTTTCCCCAATCTCTGTACACATTTGATTCAGCCAGGCTTCTTTAGCCACTTTGCATTTGTTCACTATTTCTTTTTGTATTCTAGAGTATTCTTCTTTATCATTCTTTTTCTTCCTTCTTTCATCCATCAACTGCAGAATTTCGGTTGACATCCATTTCTTTTTTGCAACTGTATGGGTTGGTGGGATTGTCTTTTTTGATGTCTGCTGAATTGACTCACGCAACATATCCCACTGTTCATCAATTGTTTGTATAATTTCCATTGCATTATACCGGTTTTGTACAGTGACGTTGTACTGTTCCTTAATTTCTTTATCCGTTCTAAGAATTCCTAAATTTAACTTGATGTTCTGTGGTGTTTTTCTAATGTTCTTTAGTTTTATTCTAATTGTTCCTACAACTGGAACATGGTCACTAAAGCAGTCTGCCCCTGGTCTAGTTTTAGCTCCAACTAAGCTGCTCTGAAATCTTCTTGAAATCAAAATATAATCAATCTGATTGCGGACATTATCACCAGGACTTTTCCAAGTCCACAATCTTCGAGGATGGTGTTTAAACCAGGTGTTACCTATTATCATGCTGCGCGACTCAGCCCATGCTATTAATCTGTCACCTCTCACATTCTTTTCTCCTAGTCCATATCCACCCGTTATTCCGTACACTTTTTCACTTCCTACTTTTGCGTTGAAATCTCCAAGTACCATTGTTACTTCACAATTTTTGCATTGATCAACAGCCAAGTCTAACTCATCATAAAATGCGTCAATGTCTTCCTCTTTTTAACCGTTGGGCCAGTAGCTCTTCGGTGTGGGCGTGTCTGATGGAGCAAATGTTGTATGCTTGATTTGTAAAGTGATCCGCAGTGACAGATAGGGCCACCGACACACGGAAAACATTGGCTGAAAGGTTTAAAAAGGATGGAGGTGGGCACTCAGGAGGCCTCGGGATGGGGAAAATGACTTACACATACATAGTAAAAGAATGATTACATTTTAAATAATAATAAATGTAGATATAAATACTTAAATTATGTATTTATCAAATTTATCAAAACGCCTCAGTTATTTATAACGCACACTCGTTTACTGTAGGGTACATTCGTCAATGCAACAACACAAATCTGCATCTATAAATTATCCACTGGGATTCGAACCTGTCCTATCCAAATGAAGACGGTGCTTCGCTGTGTACAGAATAAGCGAACTTAAAAAAGTTTGATCTCGTACTTCCCATGGTTTAAAAAAAAGGTAAAGGACCCTTTTCCACACTTTTAGGCGTATAGAGCATATAGGGCTAGACCTATATTTTATAGAACAATCAGCACAAGATTGGTGATGTGGTCAGCATCACGCCGGCCGCCTTTACGTCCCAGTACCCACCCAAGGCTGGGTCGACCTGGGAGCCAAGGTCATTTTTTGAAAAAAGTCTGGCTCCGCCAGGGAGCAAACTCACGACCTTCCGATAAGCGGTAAGCGTCTAGCTGCTCCGCAACGGCGACTCCCACTTCCTAGGGTAGCTGTAAGTAAAAGGTCACCTTCTACGCCAGTGGAACCTTTAGCACACGGCGCTAGACTTGTTTATTGACCTGTTGGTACACGATGATTGACACTGTCAACAGAACACCGATCACCTTTACTTCCCATGACATTTCATGCTACCTGTTTTCGACTGGGCTGACCTGAGAGTCTAGGCTGATAATAAAAATTGGTTAGAAGCGGATTTACTAGACTAGATGTTGTTTGCTACAATGTGCTCTATGGACTTATGTTCCCTGCAGGACTAGTGTTCCGTGTAGAACTAGTGTTCCCTGTAGCACAAATGTTCTCTATAGGACTAGGGTTCCTTGTAGGACTATCGTTCCCTGTAGGACTAGTGTTCTCTGTAAAACTGGTGTTCTCTGTAGGACTAGTGTTCTCTGTAGGACTAGTGTTCTCTGTAGGACTAGTGTTCCCTGTAGGACTAGTGTTCTCTGTAGGACTAGTGTTCCCTGTAGGACTAGTGTTCTCTGTAAAACTGGTGTTCTCTGTAGAACTAGTGTTCTCTGTAGAACTAGTGTTCTCTGTAGAACTAGTGTTCTCTGTAGAACTAGTGTTCCCTGTAGGACTAGTGTTCTCTGTAAAACTGGTGTTCTCTGTAAAACTGGTGTTCTCTGTAGGACTAGTTTTCTCTGTAGGACTAGTGTTCCCTGTAGGACTAGTGTTCTCTGTAAAACTGGTGTTCTCTGTAGAACTAGTGTTCTCTGTAGGACTAGTGTTCCCTGTAGGACTAGTGTTCTCTGTAGGACTAGTGTTCCCTGTAGGACTAGTGTTCTCTGTAGGACTAGTGTTCCCTGTAGAACTAGTGTTCTCTGTAGGACTAGTGTTCCCTGTAGGACTAGTGTTCTCTGTAGGACTAGTGTTCTCTGTAAAACTGGTGTTCTCTGTAGAACTAGTGTTCTCTGTAGAACTAGTGTTCTCTGTAGGACTAGTGTTCCCTGTAGGACGCGTTTCCTGTAGGACTAGAGTTCCTTGTAGGACTAGTGTTCACTGTAGGACTAGTTTTTCCTGTAGGACTAGTGTCGCTATGTACGTCTTGTATTCTTTGGAAAGATTGTGTTCCATGCTGTAATTTTGTTATCTTTTATCTATTGAACAGATAAACTGTTGTTATCGGGGTGAGGACGACCGGGGGGGGGGGGGTGGGGGGTCGGGAGAGTGAAGGGTAACTGAGGTCCCTTCTTCCTTACACCTTTTCTGGAGGGGCCTCTAGAGATGCGTGCAAATATGATAAAATAAGGTGCGTTATAATAATAATGATAATAATGCAATTAATATTTTACTGACTGGCGAGTAAATTACAACAATCATCTCTCCTCTGCTTGTCAAGTTCTGTTCTGCTTTTATCGACATGTTTTGAAGAGATCCCAGTTACGAACCTTGGTATGCGCTATGTAGATTCTGGTATTCCGGACCTTAGATATTCTGTCTATCGATAGCTTGTGTAGTCGACCTCTAGATCTAGGTTCGTTGTGTCTATGTGACAGGGCTCTCTGTGGTGCAGTATCTGGTGGTAGCATTGACACATGTCCGAACCATTTGTCCTGTTATTTCTCGAGGAAGCTTAGCACTGGTTTCGCGTCAGCTTGTTACCTAATAAAATCATTTCATATCATGTCTATTCTAGTTACATTATAATTCATCGAATGCATTTAATTTCTGTTATTTCCATTTTTCTTTCTTTTTAATTTTGTTGTTAAGGTCCGCGCTTGACACTGATAACACAATACTAGTTACAAAATATTGTTACATGCTTGTTGTTCTGAATATTGGTGGCATCTGTCCAGTCATTTGATTCGCCTTCTATCATCTGCATTCTAGTTCTGCTGTCGCTTTTCCTCTGTAGTTGTTGTTTTGCTTTCAAGAGATTCAAAGTCTGATGAATGGTTGAATTGTTGGTTTTCGTGTGCACATCTTGACTGGTTGTTCTGTTCTTGCGATAGGTTAATTTTTATGTTTTATGCCTTTGCTGCTATGTTGAGTCTGTCTAGGCAACCCTGCAGCTCTACTTCTGGAGTTGCCACAAAGTTGCCTAGTAGTCGTCCACAAAAAAGGAGTTCTTTGCACATGTCCTCGTGTATGTGGGATAATGTATTGATTTGGTCTATATATGTTATAAATAGCAAGGTGATAGAACACATCCATGACGGACTCTTGATTGTAAATATCATGTTTCTCTCATTTTGGCATTTGATTTTACTACACCTTTGCTGTTGTTTGTAATATGTACATTTGATCTTACTACATCTTTGCTGTTGTTTGTAATATGTACATTTGATCTTACTACACCTTAGCTGTTGTTTTTAATATGTACATTTGGTCTTACTACACTTTAGCTGTTATTTGTAATATGTAAATTTGATCTTACTACACTTTAGCTCAGCAGGTGAAAGCAGCATCAGATGGCTTCCCAGAATATTCAAAGCAGCATGGGTACAACAAACGGCCCCTATTGATTGGCAACATGCAATAGTTATACCATTGTGGAAGAACAAAGGAAGCAAACGAGAATGCGGTCAATATCGAGGCATCTCTCTTTTAAGCCATGTTGGCAAAATGTATGCCAAGAAAATAGAAACAAGACTGAGACCAGTGATAGAACCACAGCTGGCAGAAGAACAGATGGGATTTAGGAGATATAGAAGCTGCACAGATTCAATCTTCACACTTAAACAGTTAATAGAAAAGAACATTGAATAGAATAAGAACTTATTTGAGGCATTCGTAGACCAGGAGAAGGCATTTGACAGAGTCGACAAACAATTATTATGGAAAACAATGGCAAGATATGGAGTAAGCGAACACCTCATCAAAGTGTGCAAAAGTTTATACAGGGATTGTAGAAGTGTAGTTAGAATAAATCAGGGAACATCTCATCCTTTCACAGTGACATCTGGAGTAAGACAGGGGTGTGTCTTATCACCACTGCTGTTTATCACCAACATCGACAGTATATGCAAGAATGCCAAGCCCATGAATGAAGATCTTAGTAAGATCAACCAATTACTCTTTGCAGATGACCAGGCCTTGATAGCAGATATAGCCATGAAATTGCAACAACATCTAATGAAGAATGAAGAATGTAAAACAAATAATATGAGAATCAACACTGAAAAGACAGAAGTAATGTCAATAGGAAAAAAGAAGACAGATCTAAACATAGCAATAGAATACAAAGGCATTAAACAGGCATCTGAGTTTAAATATCTGAGAACTACATTTACCGAAGATGGGAAATTGGATAAAGAAATTGACATTAGATGCAGTAAAGCAAACCAAGTATTGGGTCATCTAGCCCCCCTCTTACAGCATAAGACAGTCCCAATCAGCACAAAGAGACATCTTATTCAAAGGATATTTATTCCAACTCTGTGCTACCAGTGCCAGAAATGGTCACTCACAACAAACCATAAAAGAAAATTAGTAACCACGGAAATGAGATGTCTGAGAAGGGCTGTAGGAGTGACCATAAGAGATAAGATCAGGAATGAGATCATAAGAGAACAAGTCGGCACAGAACCAATTCTGGATTACATACAAAGACAGCAAGTGAATTGGTGTGCCCACTTGGAAAGAATGCCTTGTGACACCATACCATACAAAGCATACATGGAAAGAGAAGAAGGACGTAGAGCATGAGGTAGACCAAGAACAAGATGGAAGGATAACATCAGAGAAACTCTACAACAGCACGATGTGCCAATGGTCGAGGCAGCCAGAAGAGCTAGAAACAGAACCTTATATCTCCCTGGACACCCACAGCGGTAAAAGAGGAAGTGAAGAAGAGAAGAGAACACTTTAGCTGTTGTTTGTGATATGTACATTTGATCTTACTACACCTTAGCTGTTGTTTGTAATATGTAAATTTGATCTTCCTTGACCTTAGCTGTTGTTTGTAATATGTACATTTAGTCTTAGTACACCTTAGCTGTTGTTTGTATATATGTACATTTGGTCTTACTACACCTTAGCTGTTGTTTGTAATATGTACATTTGATCTTACTTCACCTTAGCTGCTGTTTGTAATATGTACATTTGGTCTTACTACACCTTAGCTGTTGTTTGTAATATGTACATTTGGTCTTACTACACCTTAGCTGTTGTTTGTATATATGTACATTTGATCTTACTACACCTTTGCTGTTGTTTGTAATATGTACATTTGATCTTACTACACCTTTGCTGTTGTTTGTAATATGTACATTTAATCTTACTACACCTTTGCTGTTGTTTGTAATATGTAAATTTGATCATACTACACCTTTGCTGTTGTTTGTAATATGTACATTTGATCTTACTACACCTTAGCTGTTGTTTGTAAATGTACATTTGGTCTTACTACACTTTAGCTGTTGTTTGTAATACGTAAATTTAATCTTACTACACTTTAGCTGTTGTTTGTAATATGTACATTTCATCTTACTACACCTTAGCCGTTGTTTGTAATATGTACATTTGATCTTACTTGACATTAGCTGTTGTTTGTAATATGTACATTTGGTCTTACTACACCTTTGCTGTTGTTTGTAATATGTACATTTAGTCTTACTACACCTTAGCTGTTGTTTGTATATATGTACATTTGGTCTTACTACACCATAACTGTTGTTTGTAATATGTACATTTGATCTTACTTCACCTTAGCTGTTGTTTGTAATATGTACATTTGATCTTACTTCACCTTAGCTGTCGTTTGTGATATTATTTGGTCAATGTACATTTGGTCTCACTACACCTTAGTTGTTGTTTGTAATATGTACGTTTGGTCTTACTTCACTTTAGCTGTTGTTTCTAATATGTACATTTGGTCTTACTACACATTACTTTTGTTTGTAATGTGTAAATTTGGTCTTACTACACCTTAGCTGTTGTTTGTAATATGTACATCTGATCTTACTAATCCTTAGCTGTTGTTTGTAATATGTACATTTGGTTTTACTACACATTACTTTTGTTTGTAATATGTACATTTAGTCTTACTACACCTTCGCTGTTGTTTGTAATATGTACATTTAGTCTTACTACACTTTAACTGTTGTTTGTAATATGTACATTTAGTCTTACTACACCTTAGCTGTTGTTTGTAATATATACATTTGGTCTTACTATACCTTAGCTGTTGTTTGTAATATGTACATTTTGTCTTACTACACCTTAGCTGTTGTTTGTAATATGTACATTTAGTCTCACTACACATTAGTTGTTGTTTGTATATATGTACATTTGGTCTTACTACACCTTAGCTGTTGTTTGTAATATGTACATTTGGTCTTACTACAACTTAGCTGTTGTTTGTAATATGTACATTTGGTCTTACTACACCTTAGCTGTTGTTTGTAATATGTACATTTAGTCTCACTACACATTAGTTGTTGTTTGTATATATGTACATTTGGTCTTACTACACCTTAGCTGTTGTTTGTAATATGTACATTTGGTCTTACTACACCTTTGCTGTTGTTTGTAATATGTACATTTGGTCTTACTTCACTTTAGCTGTTGTTTGTAATATGTACATTTGATCTTACTTCACCTTAGCTGTTGTTTGTAATATGCACATTTGATCTTACTTCACCTTGGCTGTTAATTGTGATATCATTTGGTTAATGTACATTTGGTCTTATTACGCATTAGCTGTTGTTTGTAATATGTACATTTGGTCTCACTACACCTTAGTTTTTGTTTGTAATATGTACGTTTGGTCTTACTTCACTTTAGCTGTTGTTTGTAATATGTACATTTGCTCTTACTACATATTACTTTTATTTGTAATGTGTACATTTGGTCTTAATACACCTTAGCTGTTGTTTGTAATGTGCACATTTGATCTTACTACACCTTAGCTGTTGTTTGTAATGTGTACATTTAGTCCTACTTCATTTTAGCTGTCGTTAGTAATATGTACATTTTGTCTTACTACACCTTAGCTGTGTTTGTAATATGTAGATTTGGTCTTAATACACATTTGCTGTTGTTTGTAATATATACATTTAGTCTTAGTACATCTTAGCTGTTGTTTGTAATATGTACATTTTGTCTTACTACACCTTAGCTGTTGTTTGTAATATGTAC